ATAAGGAATTGAAACGTGTATTAAATTTGCCAATAGACACAAATATAAAATATATATATATATATATATATATATATATATATATATATATATATATTTTTCCTGGATTATATATATATATATATATATATATATATATATATATATATATATATATATATATATATATATATATATATATATAGATGAACTATATTTATATCAGATTATTTATTAAAAAATAAAAAATAAATTTTTTTTCAATGTTATTTTTGGAAACTAAAGTTCATTATCAATAAATGGACATCACTGACTTTTTCCTTTGAATTTTCTTAAGTGGCGTAATTACTATTTTTAGCTTTTCTTTTTTGTCAAAAAAAACAATACCTAAAAAATGGGCTCTCAAAAATGTAAGGGGCCTGAAAAGACAGTTGACCCTACTGTTTTTTTAGCTAGTTTCTTTTTGTTATTCCGCTGAAATGTCTACAGGAAGTTATAACATTTTGTTAACATCTATTGTGGAGTACTTCTAACACAGGAACACAAGACATAATGCCGAATCTTGTGTTCCTGTGTTAGAAGTAACAAAATTATTAAAAAAACTGTGATTATCAGGTTTACATAGGCTTCAGTACTTGTAAGTCATCATACTTGGCAGTACTTATTGGTAGAACTGTGGAATACATATTAAACAGATTGAGTGCAGTTTCTATTTGATTATTTTGTTTACATTTTATCAAAACAGTATTTTCAATATCGCCACTCCAGTTTCAATATCCAGTTGTTACAAAAGAGAATCAGAGCAGGGTGTCTTGAATGACAAGTTTTCTGACTGGTCGAGTTTTTATCAGACATGTGCACTTATAATATTGTTTCGGGTAATCAGAAAATCTAAAAAAATTTATATTGAAAAAATTTACAACATTAAAAAGTGAAGGTTGCTTTCTGCAATTCTTAAGAACCAGTCGCCTATCCTCAGGAATTTCAACATAAGTCTTTCTATTAACATTTGCCATGTCACAATTGCATTCCATATAGGAATGACCTCGTATAGGAAATGACACTTTAATACATTTAAAATATTTTTGAAAGTGAACCACCCAATCCAAAAAACGAAACAAAGTGTAATTTTTGTTTTGTCCTGCACAGCAATCGCAAAAAAAAATGTAATTCAAAAACTGTATCAGAAAGATGATTAATATTAAAATGATAAAGCATACAACAAACATCATCAGCTCCCTTTTTTCCTGTTGTTTCATCGTATGTATAAAGAAAAACTTCATCACTGGATTGGATGTGTATATTAAATAAAAAAAACTTAGGTTGTCTTTGGTAATACACATTGTTAGTTGATTTATTAGGCAAGGGTAAATTCTTCTGAAAATCAAAACTAATAGCTTCAAATGTGTCTGAGTTTTGTGCATTTTTTTTTTTTTTTTGCATCTGACTTTCTGTTATAAATTACAGCAGCTTTTCTTGTGTGAAATTTATGCTCTGTTTCAAGATCTTTTTTTATTTCATTAAGTTTGATAATATCTTCACCAACTGCATTTAAAAGCTCTTGGTAAGTGTGTTTTATATTTACAATGAACTCATCACAAGCTAAACAAGTGTCTTTGTGGAAAGCCAAACCAGATGTTAAATTTATTGTTAAAAACTACTCTGTATGTTTCGTATCCTACTTTAACAGTTAGGTAAGCATGTTTGAATATTTCAGTTAGGTAAACAGTTAGGTAAGCATGCTTGAATATTTCAGTTAGGTAAACAGTTAGGTAAGCATGTTTGAATATTTCAGTTAGGTAAACAGTTAGGCAAGCATGTTTGAATATTTCAGTTAGGTAAACAGTTAGGTAAGCATGTTTGAATATTTCAAATATTTTAGAGATATTTAGATCTTCAGATAAATAAATTTGTTTTGTTTTTCTAATAGCATAATGAGATGACTATTTTCTAAAAGAAGATATATGTTTTTGGATAGCTTCGCCATTTTTTTTTTTTTTTTTTTTTACTTTTTTCCGTGACTTTTTATTCAACCAATACTTACGGTATTAAATAATCACATGGTTTCATAAACTATAAAAATTTCAGACAACGCAGGTTTTTCCAAATGTAACCCTCGACATCACCAGTTGTTCCATTTGTTCATGTTTAATTTTTTCCCTCTTTTTTAGGAATGGAATGGTTTTTCCACTTGGTAATTAAAATAAAATATGCTTATTTGAAAAATAATAACTCAAAAGTTCCAAAAATGTGACATCTCTGGATTTTCCACTGAGGTCTTCATATGAATTATATATATATATATATATATATATATATATATATATATATATATATATATATATATATATATATATATATATATATATATATATATATATATATATATATATATATGTGTGTGTGTGTGTGTGTGTGTGTGTGTGTGTGTGTGTGTGTGTGTGTGTGTGTGTGTGTGTGTGTGTGTATATATATATATATGTATATATATATGTATATATATATATATATATATATATATATATGTATATATATATATACATATATATGTATATATATCAGGCTTTCCCAGGAAAGGCGTGCGGTCGCACGCCTTGTTTGTCCACGCATAGAATAAATTTTTCAGAAAATGTGACCGCGGCAATATTTCGTAAGAAAGCGGAAATTATCCATAGAGAATAAAAAATAATATTTAAAAAATGAAACGAAGTCTAAACAAAGTATAAAATTGAAATTGGATGTAAGAAAAATATTTCGATAATAAAAAAGAATTAAAAAAAATAATTCTTGTAATAAAAAAAAAAAAAAAAGTCTTGAAGATTTTTTTCAAAATTTTTATACTGTTTTTTTTTTTTTTTTTTTTTAGGGTTGCTATTTTCGGCTACGAAATTAGATACAAGTCAAGGAAAAGACGACGATAAGTCATAAAGTTTTCATGAAAATAAAGACTTGATACGTAATTTATTCATGAATTTCATCAGACAATGTATTAAAAAACTGATTCATTATTTACGCTAGACAAATTTGGTTAAACTTTTTCATTTAATTTAGTTTTTACGAAGGTTTATGCAAAGGCGATGACTTTATTCCCCAATACTTAGACAAGAAAATGAATTGCTGTTTTAATTATTAAATATATTATTTGAGATTTTAAACATAACAAAATTTTAATGTGAAAAAAGTTCTTTCTCGACTTATTCTAAACTGATAATACTGAGCCAATGCTCGCCTTTTATTACGTTGAAATTATTCAATTGCATAATTTTGTAATTATGAAAGAAGTTAAAAAAATAATTGCATTGCTTCTGTTGTCATTGTTACGAAAACAGTCCCTTCGGGACATTATTATATATTAACACTCGTTCACAATGTCAATTAATGATCGCAAAATAAGCAACTCAATCGTTTGACAATAACATTTTTTTTCATTTAAAAAAAAAAAAAAACATATTTTACTAATAAATAGCACTCGTTTTCGTGTTTTCTTGCGTATCAATACATTCAAACATTAAAATCAATACATTTAAATGTGTTTACGAAACATTTAAAAATTGTTTATAGTTCTATCGTGAATTTTAAAGTATTACTGACTGATAAAAGTCATAAACAAATTTTACATTAAAAGGTCCTTTTATTTTCTTTAAGCATTAATCTTTTTCTTTTTGATTTGATTTTTCTTATTGATTTGATTTTTCATAGCTTAAATAACTACCACCCTAAATAAATAAATAAATTATTGGTAAATTTTTTTTTTAATAATATGCATTAATTTTTTAATTTTAAAGCACAAACAGATTTCTGTTATTCACTTTAAGATTGCTTGCATTTTTGCGGTATTTTCGTTTAGCTTTGTTTTGGCGCGAATTCTTGAAACGCACAGTAATAAAACGTGGTCAGTTAGTCAGAAAAATTTATTCTATCCGTGGACAAACAAGGCGTGCGACCGCACGCCTTTCCTGGGAAAGCCTGATATATATATGTATATATATATGTGTATATATATATATATATATATATATATATATATATATATATATATATATACACATATATATACACACATATATCATTCTTGGTGAGGAAGTAAATACGCATAGACATAAATAATGCTTTGCTTTGACAATTTGACCACAGGTTTATCAAAAACGCATATCAAAAATGCGCTGAATAACAAAGATAACATCAAAACTTTTATTTTTACAAATGTTTTTATATTAATGAAACACTTTTAAATAAAGTAACAAATTACTAATAATTATTTTTCATTCAAGTAACAATGAAAGTTTAATATAAGTTAATATAATAAGAAGAAAATATAAGTTGTAATTATTTTTAATCATGTTATAAATTATATAAGTATGCATTTTTTATAAAAAATAATATTTTTCTAAAAATAAATTATTTTTGATTTTATAAGCGATGATTTTTCAGACAAGTCTTTTTAATGAACTTTTTTATTCATTAAAGCTAATACACTTTAAAAGGATTTAATTGAAAAAAATTAATGAATAATAGTTCTTATATATCTTTAAAAAATTTTAAACAATTTTATAAAGATCTAATAATATATCTTTAAAAAATTTTAAACAATTTTATAAAGATCTACTTAAAAATATATGTATATATATATATATATATATATATATATATATATATATATATATATATATATATATATATATATATATATATATATATATATATATATATATATATATATATATATATATAATGCGGTAGTGGTGTAGTGGTAAAACACTCGCTTCATAAGCGAGAGGTTCCGAGTTCGATTCCCACCATGTCCCTGGTAGTACCGCGCTCAACTTGTTTCTCCGCGCAGCGGCCTTGTTTGTCAAGGTTCGTGTTTCGGAGTTATAGAGTTGAGAGAGGGTTATAACCACTATTAAGTAGCCTCCTCATCTGTAGTGGCCTTCTCGGCCTTGAGGAGGTGAATAACAAAAAATATATATACATATACATGTAAATATTTATAAATATATATATTTCTTTTGCTGCATTAGTTACGCTGTTGATCTTGTTGTGTGCAGTGCTTTGGGTGCTGATATGTTCGATTGTGTATACCCAACCAGAACAGCGGTATGAGATATTATTAAACCAATTATTTAATTATGCAAAATTTTGTTGTATGAAGCAATTAAGGCTACCTATATTCCAGGCCTTACAATTCCATAATTAAATGGTAAAACTGGAGGCTAAATTTTTATGTGAAATTTTAAAAAACTTGAAAATGAAAATATTATTATTTAGTTTTTTAAAGTGTTTTTTTCTAAAGTGTTGTTTTATTTTTGCTATGGCAAAAAGTATAAGAACGTTTAAGAATAAGAGCGTTTATCTTTTAAAAGACAGACAGATAAAGGTTTACAATGGACAACTATTATTAAATAGTATCCCTGATTTAAAATATACTGTGGTATGCCAAGGTGCAAATTAAGCGATTTTTATATTCCTGGGAATATAAAAAAGTTTTTATGAAAAAAAGTTTCATTATGTTTTATGATGTTGTTGACACAAAATAACTGGTTAGATAAATATTTCTTTAGTTATTTGTCTGTCAGGATGGACAAAACCAATTTTAAAATTTATTGCACCAAGAAATGCTAATTATTAACGTTTGTATAATTGTATACGCATTTGAAGTTGATTATTGTACTTTTATTTACTTTTTACTTTTGATTTGAAGTTGATTTATGTACTTTTTATTTTAGTTACTTTTCTACTTAATGTACTTTTCTTTACTTTTATTTACCTCATTTCTTTTTTTTTTTTTAATTTTGGCATATAACAGTAACTACTGTAGAATCTCATTAACTCGGACTCTGAACAGGTATTTTGAATTAATTCACCTCTTGTGTGCTCTAAACATTGGTTTGAAAGTGTTTTTTGTGAAATGTGAATTTTGCTAATGATTAATGGCAAGTAGTGACCAAATGAACCTCCAACAATATTTCAAAACAAATTAGATCAAATTCGAACACATCATCAAATTCACATAAATTACACAGTTTTATCAACAAGAAATATTCATGAGGATAAAAGTTAGAACGATAGAAGTTTTAATGAAGCTCTTAACTAGAAATGATTTAAAATTCAGTGACATTGTAATGAAGGTTAAAACTGAACAGCTACCAGTTTTAAAAAACTGAACAGCTACCAGTGTTATCATTAATTCAGTGACATTGTAATGAAGGTTAAAACTGAACAGCTACCAGTTTTATCTTACAATTTTAATGATGACATTATAAAGTTTTTAAAGTTTTAAAGTAGAAAAAATAAAGTCTTTAAGTCATAAAAATTTCTTTTTTTCCTGGAGCTCCAAAAATTTAAATAGGCTTTATATTTCTATTAACCTAACAACGGTCTTATTAAAAAATCAGTATCCAATTAAACTTATTGACAAATTTATAAACAACTATTCAAATAAAAAATTTGTTTCATCTAAATTCAACAACAACGAATCCCATAATTACAAATATTTTAGGTTGCCATATATGGACTACTTTTAAAAAACACTTTAAACACTTTGAGAGGCAAACATTTGAGTTTTGAACCCAGAGTCCTTATGTATTATGGGAGCAAGGACTCCAGGATTCTAGGCTGAAAAACAATATGTCATAAGTCACTCAACACTTTTAGAGCTACTTTTAGAGACAGCAGAGTTCAGGAAAAAATAGAAATTTAAAACCAGATTTCTTTTGGGACTCAAATCAAAAATAATAAATTTCAAAATCTATAACAAATAATCAATGAACACACAAAAAAAAGTTTTTAATTTCAAAAGTAATAATTAATTTGATAAAATTAATATACAATTGTAAATATATTTTAAATTTGTTATAACAACAATAAATTTTTTTTTTTTTTTTGCTGTTTTTTATTGATACTATACCTAATTTACCTAATTATTTCCACTTATGGAAAAATCTAGGTAACAATTGGATCACCCAAACAAAACTAAAGAAATTAAATTTCTTTTTGGGGAAGCAGCAGAGCAGTTAAAAACTTGCTGGTGATACATTGTGTCAGTGCACAATACATGATGTGTGTTTTTTTATTACATTTTATTTATAAAACTAGATTTGACTGTTTTGTTGAAAATCATTATTTAAATGTTTTTATTAATCTAGTATAAGTGATTAATCAAATTGATTTTTGTCATTCTCTTCTGTAAGTAAAAATTTCTTGTAAAAATCTCATCTAATATACTTAAAAAATTGAAAAAACCTCCACAAAAAGTATTGAAACTGCAGTTTGAATAAACAAATAGTTTTAATTTTTTGTAAATGAGCAATAATTGGTATGAAATATTTTTTATGATTTTTCAAAAAAAGAAGTGCTTTTAATCAGCTTCTAGTTTTTTTATTTCGTTGTGCAATTGCAACGCCTGGAGTAATTATAATTTGGAAACAATTATAATGTTAATGTCATTATTTATAGTGCATTGTAATGTAAAAATGCATTGTTTTTTAGAGGTTCGGAACAGCTTTGCATAGGACTGGTCAACTTCATATGAAAGCTAAAAAATTTGCAACAGACTTCACACCAATAGACGAAAAATGTTCCTGCAGTACTTGTAAGATGTATACTCGCTCATTTATTCATAGCTTGATCGGCAAAGAGGCTGTTGCTTGTCATTTATTAACTGTACATAATATAAGATATCAAGTAAGTATTTTTTATTTTTTGTAAGTATTAACCCTTTGACTACTTGATAAAATTAAAAAATGTTTAGAAAAATTCAACTAAAAAAAACGAAAATGGAAAAAAAAACAATTTTGAGATTTATATGCCATTTTTCATTTTATAACATCTACAAAATTTATAAACAAAAAATTTAAGCCCTCATTGTGTAAATAATAAATGGTATTTAGGAAAACAATAATTTTTTGCAATAAAGGTTATTGTTTTAAAAATCAGTTTTTAAAGCCACGATTGTGGCTTGCCGCAGTCAAAGGGTTAATAATTAGTAATTTCCCTTCCCTACCCCCCTACCCTCCCTCCAAAAAAAAAGGAGAGAGAGAGACTATACCTCTAAAAATCTGTAACAGGGATTTTCCATAATTTTATTACTTTTGCAATTTTGCGATTGCCGGGTGATTTAAAAAAATGCAATTGCTTTTTCTTAGCATTTTTGAGTAATTGCTCAGCTTTGCGTGAATAAAAATTTAAGCAATTTTGCTCAAATTTTTATTCACGTAAAGCTGAGCAATTACTCCAAAAATGCTGAGTAAAAGCAATTGCTTTTTTTATTCACCCGGCCTATTATTGTTTTAAAAATAATAATGTTTTTATAATCAAGCAGAATGATTTATTTTAGAGAGCTTAAGCATCATACCCTCTCTATGATGCTTTAAATTATATTTTTCTGACGTACGATGACGTCTTCAGCCTACTTTAAGAACACTTCAAACACTTTTACGATTGAGCATACTCAAATACATAAAGAATATTATAGTTGACAAAATACTTTCCCAATAAAAATTACAAAGATTTCTTTATACCAACTTTAAAGCTAATGCAAACACTGCTATTTTAATGCATTCCCATAACTGCTGACCATTAGTTGGTTTAGAGCCGAAATTGAAAATGTGAATAAAATTTAAAGATTACAAAAATTTTTATTGATAATAAATATATTTGAATCTTTTTGAAATTCTTTTTTTTTTATATTTTTTTTTTTTTTTTTTTTTTTTATAGATATCTTTTAAGACTAAAGCAAATATTTTTTTGTGAATTATCCACTTATTGAAAAACCTATGTAACAATTGTAACAATTGGCTTACCCAAAAAAAACTAAATACTCAATTGCTCAATTTACTCATTAAGCATAATGCATACTCACATGAAAAAAGTTTTCTATATTATACATAAGCATAATGCATACTCACATGAAAAAAGTTTTCTATATTATACATAAGCATAATGCATACTCACATGAAAAAAGTTTTCTATTTTATACATAAGCATAATGCATACTCACATGAAAAAAGTTTTCTATATTATACATAAGCATAATGCATACTCACATGAAAAAAGTTTTCTATATTATACATAAGCATAATGCATACTCACATAAAAAAAGTTTTCTATATTATACATAAGCATAATGCATACACACATGAAAAAAGTTTTCTATATTATACATAAGCATAATGCATACACACATGAAAAAAGTTTTCTATATTATACATAAGCATAATGCATACTCACATAAAAAAAGTTTTCTATATTATACATAAGCATAATGCATACACACATGAAAAAAGTTTTCTATATTATACATAAGCATAATGCATACACACATGAAAAAAGTTTTCTATATTATACATAAGCATAATGCATACACACATGAAAAAAGTTTTCTATATTATACATAAGCATAATGCATACACACATGAAAAAAGTTTTCTATATTATACATAAGCATAATGCATACACACATGAAAAAAGTTTTCTATATTATACGTAAGCATAATGCATACACACATGAAAAAAGTTTTCTATATTATACATAAGCATAATGCATACACACATGAAAAAAGTTTTCTATATTATACATAAGCATAATGCATACACACATGAAAAAAGTTTTGTATATTATACATAAGCATAATGCATACACACATGAAAAAAGTTTTCTATATTATACATAAGCATAATGCATACACACATGAAAAAAGTTTTCTATATTATACATAAGCATAATGCATACACACATGAAAAAAGTTTTCTATATTATACATAAGCATAATGCTTACACACATGAAAAAAGTTTTCTATATTATACATAAGCATAATGCATACACACATGAAAAAAGTTTTCTATTTTATACATAAGAAAGGTAATAATCAAAATATTATTTTTTATTTTACTGCTATTTTCATGCTTACAGCTTCTGTTCACAAAAAATGGTTCAAAACAATTCAGTCAACAAGGGATTTTCAAAAAAAGTAAATTATGGATTTACTAAAAAGATTAAGATTAGTTATAATATAGATGTTACGCAGGAATCACATATGATATGCATGTCTCATTTCATGGAAGCTCTCGGAAAAACAAAGGAGAGTCTTTTTGTCTTCCTGTGGAGCTTCAATGGAGTGACACCATTGCATTAAAGTTTTAAAAAAGTGGAACGAAGTTTGTAAAAATACTTCTGCAAAAGGTGATTATAAAGACTTTTGTCAGCTTTTTGTTTTTACCTTGTTGGAAATGTAATAAAACTTAATTTCAACTCCGTCAACCTGGAGCTTGTCATAAGTCATGTTTTATGGAAGTCAGACTTTACCTTCTAACATTAAAATTGACAAAACATGTTGTTAACTTTTGATTATCATTTTTTTACAAATTCTACCTTTATAGCTTAAATCTCATAGTTTCAAGGGTATAGTCTTCTAATTTTCAAATTCTCCATACCTAGAAGTTATATATCTTCAACATCAAAAAATGCTAGATCCACCCCTGTGCTAGAGAGTCTTATATCACCTAAACTTTTTCACAACCATTCCCAGGAAAAAAGTTCTATTGAATTTCTATAAACTTTTAAAACATATGGTCCATTGAAATTCAATAGAATATCTGTTAGTTTCTATAGAAACTAACAGATATTCTATATATATATATATATATATATATATATATTTCTTTTTTTTTTTTTTTTTCCATAGAAAAGAAAAATCTTATAGCAATTTCTATAGAAATTAACAGACATTCTATATAATTTCTATAGGCCATATATTTCAAAAGTTTATAGAAGTTCTATAGAACTTTTTTTCCTGGTTTTGTCCAAGATCGGCTAGAAAAATTTCAATCTCAAATATTAAATGATCTCAAAAAAATTTGCAGGAAATTTGGTTAAACACGTAAATTGTGCATCATTGTTAAGTCTATACTTCGACGCTTTTGAGCACGTTGTAAACTAGAACAGGGCACATTAAATGCTGACAGTTGGACTACGTCTATTCAAAATATTTTCCATGATCCATTGTAAGTTTGTGTTCAAATAAATTAAATATTTATGTTTCTTTTTCAAATGTTATTATAATCAAATGTAAATAAATATGTATACGTCTAAATAAGTATACGCCTAAATTATACCAGGGTAACTGCATTAATGAGTTGTTTACTTACAAATAATTTTAACATATAAATAATATGCCATAAAAAAATAAAATATTAGAATATTGGTTACTGTTATTACTAATTGTTGTTTAATAAAAATAATATAAATCTTTTAAAATTTTTATAACTGCATATACATTAGTATGAATTTTTTTTTCAGATGGACTTAATGGCTGCAGTGCGGAAAAACATAATTAACGACACTTTTGAATCTTTTGTACAACAATTTATGCTCGAAATGTTTCCCGAGAAAAACTATCCGACCTGGGTTATAAATGCTCTTAGTGCTGTAAACATTTTTCTAATCAGTTAAAAGTGGAAATTCGTTTATATAGTTATATAAATTTAAAAAAAAACATTAATATTGATACACTTTTTAAAAATTTTGATAAATTTTCGGGGTGCACAAGTTTTTTAATATCTATAAGATAATTAAAGCGTTTTTCATTTATTAAGGCGGCTAAAAAAACAATTTTGCAAAAAATTACTAAAATATGCAATTTTACCAGGATATATTGAAAAGCACTTTTTTATTACAGCAAACTCCCGGTTATTCGAATTTCCAGTGGGAAACAAGAATTTACTTCAAAATAACCAAAAGTTTGAATAACTTTAAAGTGACCTATTTCTAGTTACTATCAAATTTTAACAAAAGTAGAGAGTAAAAAAAAACTTTGAAATGCTGTTTGAGTCTTTAATCAAATTTAAAATCTTTAAATTTTTTTTTTAAAAAAAATCGTCGATTTTCGATTGCTTTTTTGCTTCTTAAGAATGTTTATCAAACATCTTTGATAATAAGCTTAGCGATTTCGACGCCGTTAGTTATAAAAAGAAACCAACATTTAATTAACTCTATTGCACGTGCAATCTCTGATAATTTTGGCTTTCGTTAGGCAAATCGTTTGACTCTATATCTTCATCTACCTCAGCACAATTGTTGGTTAATCCAGAATTTCTTGATTTGTTATAGCAATTGATTCGCTAGTACAAATCTCAATCTCTATGTTTACGTAATCTTCAACAGCAAAATTTTTGTCTACTAAACTACGTGATCTAAACTCGTTGACGTTCTCTTCAAGCAACTCGAAAGGATTTATACTTGCAACATGTATTTCCTGCGAAATGTCTGCCTCTCTAAAACAGTTCAATTTCAAGATGCCGATATTTGGGGTCGTTTTACCAGCATCGATGTATTTGATCTGACGCCTCACAACATACGTGCGATAAAAAGCCTTCAATGCCCTTTTCCTCTGTACGCGACCTTTCTTTGCCAGAAATAGTTCTAAAAACATTTTTGTCTATTTTTCCATCAATTAAGCCACCTTTCTGAAGCCTTAAAATCCGCAATGTTGAGTTCTTTTGCAAAATCTAAAGCTTTTTCTCTAATCTGCATGGCCGCCGAAAGGGGGGGGGGGGCACCGGGACAGTTTGTACTGGGCGGCAGATATCCCAGGGGCGCCAAATGAAATGTAGGCACCTAAAAAAAAAAGGTCCTTGATATATAATATAAGGAAAATTGGATAAATAAGGGCGCCAATCAGGATTGCTGTCACAACTCTCGGAGGCCCTGCTAATGTGTCAATATATTTTATTTAATATATAAAACAATAATATATTAAATTTTATTTAATACGTAAAACATAAAATACAGCTAAGTACTAATTTTGTATTTTATGTTTTATATATTAAATAAATAAATTATCAAGTATTACAAGAAATATCATTAAAACAATTAAGAGCAAGATATTTCTCTTTGATTGTCAGAACTGCCTTCTTTTGTATAGATGCCGTGTTGAAATTTCTACTTCACTACGTTGTAACGTGTTCGATTTTTTATCATATTTTAATAATGTTATTTCGTTTGTTTTAATAAAACTTTCCTTAATGTTACGTTTTAAAATGCAATGGAATGGTTCCAATTGAAAGAAATTTCAAATAACAGACGGAGAGATTTTGTCAAGAGTTGTAAAAAATATTTTTGAATAACTGCAGGTTCGAATAACTGAAGTATATTTGCATGAGTTTGTCAGGAAAAATTCACGGGGAACGAAGATTGCTTCAAATATGCGTGAAGTTCGAATAAGTGCCCGTTCGCATGGCCAACGACACGAGTTTTGAAGTGGAGGGGCACAATCGTCAATTTCTAAAAGTCCTTTTTTTCTAAAAGGTCCTTCAGAAAAAAAAGTCGACAACACTCGTAATTTATAATTGTTAGATCCCATAATGATATATATATATATACAGGGCCGGCGCGAGTAGGTGTCACGTGGGGGGGGGAGGGGTGCCATTACAACTTTTGCCGACTTAAAAAAAAAAAAAAGGTCCTCGTTTTCCAAAATTTGCCGACTGCCTTGACTGTCTAGATTACCGACTAACCTGTATCGAAAGGGTCGACATTTGCCGACTAACTAGTCTAAAGGGTCCAATTTGCCGACTAAAAATCATTGATGGGGAGGGGGGTGTCACACCTACACACACACACACACCTCCACACCCCTATTGCGCCGGCCTTATATATATATATATATATATATATATATATATATATATATATATATATATATATATATATATATATATATATATACATATATATATATATATATATATATATATATATATATATATATATATATATATATATATACATATATGCAATAAAAAAATTTTTCCAAGTAAACAAAGTAAATGATATTCGAACTTTAGCCGACAAAACACCAATCATAAATACAACAACCTCTTGAATACTGCAATCGCTTTCCCGAGTAAAAAAAGCTTACCTAAAAGTAAAAGATCAAATAAATAATGTAAAAAAGTTTTAATCAGCCATGATATCTATAAAAAAACAAAATAAACTTTACTTCAGATTGCTTCATAACTCTAAAAGACCACATAAATTTTCAAACTATTTTTATAATATATTTAAGAAATATATATTATAAGAAACAAACTATTTTTGAATTAATGGCAAAGCACTCGAAATATTATAAAGTTTCAAAACGTTAAAGAAAAGCAATTGTGTAAGCTTTTAAGTTTTGATATTTACAATTTTTATCCATCAATTTATAAAAATCTATTAAACAAAAATAGCTTTTGCAGAGGAACTTAACAATGAATAATGAGAAAAAGAACGTTATACAATATTTATTCAATAATTCTTTGACATCAACTCTCGCAATTTTATAAAGAAACTGTTTCGGCATATATCAAAGTGATGATGTAGCCATGTTTAAGAATAAAACTTCTCCCAAGTAACCCAGTAGGCAAGCGTCGTCCGACGGACATCAATTCGACGTCTTACAGACGTTAAGGTGTCCGTTAAACGTCCAACGGACGTCATTCGGATGACGGACGTGCCGTGCGACAGACGTGCCCTGGACGCGTTCCCACTGGGAACAGTCTTCTAATCTCTGTCAACTGTAATATGAAACTTCTTTTAAACTTTGGTATGTAAATCATTTAAAATCATTTAATGCAATTAGGCACTGAAATGATACGGAGCTATATAATGAAAATAGCAAATTAAAAATAAAAACTTTACACCTTCCGTCAAATGGAAGATTATAAGATCAAGGGCTTTTTTCAAGAAAAAATTATTTTAAACTAGTTTGTTGATGCTTTTTACCCGTTGTCACTGTAAATGAATAAAAAAACTTGAACTATCGTATCTATAAAATTATTTTCAAATCCTGTAATATCGAGTATCAGACAATTATGCATTTATTGCTAACTGAAATTGTTAATCTCTTAGAAGAACATGATACCATATTAGATAATAGTGTTTAATAAACTATCGTGAACAGAAAAATGCAAACAATATAAACATAAACTATGTTTATGTTGTTTGCTTTTTTTCATGCACAATTCTCTAACCTCGATTACCGATTTTATTTTAGTATTTTTCAATTATATAATTACTTTTTATTATTCGTATAACTTTATAGTAATATTAATTTTATTATTACTTAATTTATAATTCTTATTATTAAAAGTTTGTTTTATTATTATGTTATTATTATTGTTTTATTATTATTATTATTATTATTACTATTATAGTGCTTTGCATTAAAGCTAGGTTTAAAATATGATTATATGTTTGTGCTCATAATAATCTTTGTCGTTATAAGATACTATTAAAATATAAGTGTTTACTTAACATTAGCTAGTTTTCTATGTGCAAATATCTTTGAATGTAAGACCTTTATTCAGGGTTCTTTCTTCATTCTTTTTAATGACTTCTTAACGGTTTTTTAAATATAATTTGTTGTATAAAATTGAATGAAGTTAACGAGGATGAAGTTTTGCTTTTTTATAGCTTGTAATTTATTTGTTTTTCTTTTTTATAAAATTTTGAAAATAAAAAAATAAAAGATATTAACATAAATTTAATTTAGGATTAGAGAATATACATACATACATATCGTCACATTAGAATTATAGGATTCTATCTGCCTTTTTTTAAGTTGTGAGAACTTAACTTTCAATATTTATTTAATAAATGTTTTAAAGCTGTTATTCATTACAATTATAAATTATAAGTTGTTTACGTTATCTATATTATTTAACATATTTTATATTAAACCATATATATATATATATATATATATATATATATATATATATATATATATATATATATATATATATATATATATATATATATATATATATATATATATATATATATATATATATATATATATATATATATATATATATATATATATATATATATATATATATATATATATATATATATATATATATATATATATATATATATATATATATGTATGTATGTATATATATATATTTACATATATATTCAAAAAAAAAGTATATATACTTTTTTTTTAACTATAAAATGTTACATTATGTTTATTTTTTACATTATGTTTTTTAAATCACTAAAAAAAATAAACAACTAATTTAATGGTAATTTAGTGGTCTAACTAAGAGAATTTTTTTTTTTGGTAGTTAAGAGTTTTGATTGACGCAAAATACAATTTTTTTTTTTTTTTTTTTTTGATGCGTTGAGCCAATTAAACTGTACTGCTCGGTTAATTGCTAACCCATTTCCCACCGGGTATTTTTGTATTAAATTTTATTAGTTTTTTAAAAATGAAGAAGGCGACTTTAGTAGGAAGTTGCAATAATACTCGTACCATAGATATCTTTTTTAAACCTCCCTAAAAATTTTGCTACTTTTTCTGCTTATATAGTTTTACAGACGGTATTTGTGAAAAAAGTACTGTAGAAGGGGTGTAATTGTGTAAAGACTTTGAGGTAAACAAGTACACGTTACCTTTTTTATAGCCGTAAAAACTTAATGGACTTTTCAATTTTACACTTTAATAATTTCAGAAAATGATAAGGTTATTAATAAAGTTTTTTAAATCTTAAAGTGAAGAAAGTTTAGCTTGGAAATGTAAAAAAATGTTTAATTTGTTAGACTTGGTAATGGTTATTACTTTTTTTTTTTTTTTTTTGATCTTTCACTAATCAACATTTTATTTTTGAATATTGCAATTATTTTGGCCAATATTGCCTATGTCTTGCAATGGATTGGCAATATATTAAGCAATAATATCGCGATATTGACAATAAAATTGCAATTATATTGACCATTATCTTGCAATGGATTGGCAATATATTGAGCAATAATCTCGCAATACTGAAAATAAAAATTGCAATAAAATTATCATTTTCGACAATATGACAGTCTTTATAATCAATTTTGTTTTTATAGATATTTAACATTTAACCTAGAGTGTATTATGGTATCAAAATAAAAATATACAATTATAAAAAAAAGTTATTTTATATACGTTTTTATATGTGGATTAACTAAAATGGCAAAAAAGCGTTATGCTTTTTAAAAAAATTTTTCACTTACAAATACTTTATAAGTTTTAAAAATAACACGCGTTACAATATTACGTCTCGTTAGCTCAAAATATTACGCTTCGCTATTTTATTTGCCTCTAAATTATATGTTACGTTTACGCTTTTAAAACTGACTTTGTTAATTCATTATCTCTAAGTATAAGATCTAAAAATAACCTATTCTTCCACAAGAAGTTACTGATCATTTAATATTAAAAGAAGTAAATACAAATAGTGTTGATACAAAAAGTGACGAAATGGGGATAACACTGATAAAGACAACTATATCTGTCAATTTAATGAAAATTTTAATATAATAGAACGATGTATAAATTGATGATGATTAGAATGAAAAAATGATAAAAAAGAAAAATTATTTATTTACAGAATACAAATAACATTAAAAACATTTAAAAAAGAAATTATTAAAAGCTTACTTATTGCAGTTTTTTCCTTTAAATTCACATTTTAAAGCATTTTTTTTGGAGGAGGGTACCCTCCTCCGCCACCCGGGTGGCGCAAATTAATTTCTCTTATTACTCTTCCATTTATAATTTTTAACGAGGGTTTGTTTTCCTTTTTTTTAGCTATAAGTATTTTAGTTTTAGATTAAGTTTTCGTATTTTAAGCAATATTAATTTTAAGCAATATTATTGCAATAATATTGCAATAATAAGCAATAATATTGCAATATTGTTGCAGTAATATTATTATTATTCTATTTTATTTGGCAATAAATCGCGCAGTATATAACAATTTTAACTGAAAGCGCAATAATATTGCAATATGTTGTAGTAAACTGCAATATGCGTTAATTAGTGTTTCATTACGAAATATTTTTTTGCAATTTTTAAAAATTTTATTCTTTACTTTTTATTATTTGGATTTCACTAAGTAAGTAAATATTTTTTTATTTAGTAACAAATATATAATAGATTGTATATTTATATGATTTCGAAAAAATATAATTTATCTTAATTCAAAATAAACGATTTTTTGAACAGTTTTTATAAAATTGATCTCAAAATTGAAAAATACTTAACATATATGTAAATGGTATCTAAAAACGGACGCCACGGGCGACCCTGAATATACTAATATAATATATATGTGCGTATTTAGCTCACTGTTAACAAAAATTTAGGGGAAAGCGGGGCAACATGGGTTTTCATATAACAACTCAAAAAAAAAATCTTAAAGTTGGGTGAAAACAAAACTGTATATGCATTTTGTATTTTAAAACACCAATTAGTTTCTATAAATATTATTGGTTTTTATAAATATTACTGGTTTCTATAAATACAATTGGTTTCTATTAATATTATTAACGCAGATTTATACGCATAAGTTTACTTTTTGCGCTTAACAAAAATTTTCTCAGTTTCGGTTTCTCATAATGGACGGTACCCTTCAAGTTTAATTTCTTTAGAAGTAGTTATTTACGACTTGTGTTTATTTTGTGTTACTTTAGTTAAAGTTATTTGTAGTTTTTAAAATTTTATAAAATTGGAAGCAAAAATTCCGTAATAAGTCATCTTGCCCCGGTCACGTGACCAGATGACAAATTTATGTACTTTTTATTTAATATTTATTTCAAATTTTTATACTTGCAAACTAAAAATTCATGTAGGCAATCAATCAATTTAACATAAACACACTGAGAAAGTATTATTGCTTCACGACTGATAGATTTGCAATAACTCAGGGCTTTCAAAACGTTCGCCATGTTGCCCCGCTTTCCCCTACTTGTAAAAGCTTATGAACATGGGATTCCAAAAATGTAAAATTTTTAACCATTTGCCAATGTCTGGAAAAAAAAATGAGTTTTGGAAATTTTCTTGATTGAACATATATGTGATGCTTCCGAAACTTTGTATTTTTTAGGGCCGACAACACAGGTTTCGAAGTGGATGGGGCGCAATCGTCATTTTCTGAAAATCTTCTCTATATCTAAAAAATAAAAAAAAGGAAAAAAATTGGAGGGGGGAGGAGGAGGGGAAGACATGTATTGTCTTAATACAGTTTAAAAATTAACAATCTAATAAAAAGTTAAAAGAAATAAGTGAGTAGTTACAAAGTCAGTTTTAAAAGCTTAAACCAAACTGAAAACAGTTTGGTTGTTTGGTTTTTTATTTAAGTTATTTAAATTCAAGGTTTTTTTTCTAATAATAAAAAGTTTAGATTCTTATTTGAATTTTTATAAAAAAAAAAATTAGAAGAAATTTACTTTTAATAATATTTTAAAAGAATTTTTTTCTACAGAAATGGTCCATGATATTGAACTTGAAATAAACTTGATTGGTCCATGATATTGAACTTGAAATAAACTGAGTTTCAAATAAGATCTTGGAATAACAAATTTATCATTTGAAGATTTTGATTTATGAAAGTAAGAGTAAAAGGTATTAGCAGATAAACCATATTTTGATTTAAAAATGAACAGCGTAACATTTCCCTCCCCCCCTCCCCCCACACGTTCTTTTTCTAAAGGACTTTTTTTTTAGGAAATTTTTAGATATAGAGGACTTTTTTTAGAAATTAACGATTGTGTCTCCCCAATATATATTTTTCTGGTAAAAGCTCCTTTTTAAGATATTTACTTTATCCTTAAAGTCTATAAGTTTTATAATTATAGTTCGTGGTTTAACTGAATATGCCCAGTTTTATCTGTTCTTTCTATTTTAATACGTTTCAGGCCTAAATATTTTTCAAAAAATTTGTTTGCTTTTATTTCGCAGTCATCCTTTCTCTTTCATTTTCTTTAACTCCATTGGTTCTCAGATTTTCGCAAGTAATAAAAGCAACATACATAAAAGTTTATTATAATTAACTTTGACAAAACTTGCAAATTGTGAGGTTCAAAACTTGGATACTGAGCCCCACAGTTTGCAAATTTTGAGTTTTTATTTAACTCGCAAGCTTTAAATGTTGATTTTAACTTTTTTTTTTTGAACAAAGAGCAATTAACTACGAAGTTCACGTTTTCTTCCCAGCCAAGTTTTTTGTTTTAAGGTTTGGTTAAATGTTAGGTTTTTAGACTTTAAATTTTGGACCATAATATTATATTACAATGTTAAAATTATGGTTGCTAAGAGCGTTGCTAAGATAAATAATTTAAGTTGACCCAGTGGGAAGTCATTCGTTTGACGTTTCTTGAACGTCCAGACGTTTGTAAGACGTCCGACAGACATCTACCGCATGCCTAATGGGGAGGCAAATTTATTGAAAAAGTAGAAAAAAATACGAAAAAGTATTTATTTTTTAAAGTACAAAAATTTCTCTTTAAAAATGTATATATATATATATATAAAATTTGATATTTTTCAAAAATTTCGGTTAACATCCGCCTTTAAGGTTGTGGTTTTTTTCGTTGTTTTTTTCATGAACTGACATAAGAGTTACCTTGGATTTTAGCTTAAAGTGAGTTATATAGCGCTCAATACGCGTGTTTTTTTTTTAAAAAAAAAAAAAAAGGTTGGACCATCTTTCCAAAAAATTAGTCGACAAACTTCAAAATAAATTAGTAAGAGCTAATGTTAGTAAAGTAGTTTTTCGGTAAACTAAACTGCCAAAATTTGTAAGTATAACTTATTTATTTAATTTATAACACATACAATACATACAATACATAATTATCAAGTACTACAAGAAATGTCATTAAAACAAAGTAAGTATAACTATAAATTAAATGTAAATATATTCACAAATAGTTTATATATATAGGAACATATTGTTGTAGTGTTGAAACAAAAAATCAGAAATCTATCTTCAAAAAGATTTCGGACCTTGTGTACATCAATAGCCTTGCGGATTTTTTTTTGGAAAAAACCTAATTTACCTTTGAGTGATGATTTTTTAGATAAAATACATCCCGTTAATTTTCAATTTTACATTTGTTTATATCAGTCATTATTTAACTTTATGATGAACACATATTTATACAGTGTAGATCAACGAATTAAATACGTGAATAATTTATAAATACATATATTATAAATGTAACAACATTTTTATTGTTTAGGAAAAATCAGAAAATTGATCATATGGCAAAACTTGAAGCAAATCGGTATGAATGCTAACACAATAGAATATCTCTAATTTTTTATAATATAATAATTATGTTTTAAAATAATTTTAAGCATAATAAATAGTTTTTTTTTTTTTAATAAAAACATTTAGTTTTAATTTTTAATTTTAGGGAAAGGGCCATTAAAAGTAATCTTGCTGATAATATTATTCGTATTTTTAAATCAAGTGGATTAAAAGGATGGTACAAAAAGGTATTAATTAGTTTATAATTTGTAAAAAAGTTTCAAAGTGTTTGAATTTATTCAATTTTAGGTAAAGCTACAATTAAGAGGTCTAAAATAATTTTATTTTTTCGCTTGTTGCACACATGTATGTATGTATGTACACTGTGTCAAAAAAGTTTTCATCCACCTATCCTGTACATCTTTCAGACGTGATAACTTTACATTCAGCAAAGATATAAGCATAATTTCAACTTAATTATATCAGTTAACCATTCAAGAAGTATTGTATAAAAAGATTTTACAAAATAATGAATAGAAATTAAAATACAACATTTAAACATAAACAATGCCTGTTTTTGCGCCAAAAAAGTTTTCATCCAACCTGCACTCCAACCTCAATTTGTTATTAAATCAGTATTAAAGTATCATTTTTAAAATATAAATTAGATTTAGTAAGATTTTTGTATTTTTTTTTTTTTATATGAGTTTTTTATATTTTTTATTTTTGTTAGATTATTAATAAAAATGAGAGTTGCAGAGGAAATTAGATTGCTTATTGTTAGACTATGGAAAGAGGGAGAATCACAGCGAAATATAGGAAAAATAGTAAAGAAATCACGTGCAACTGTGCAGTCTATTATTAAGAAATACCAAACCACCAAAAAAATTGCTGATAAGCCACGTACAGGCCGTCCAAATAAAATTCAAGTATTGCATCGACGAGCTATTTTAAGAACAGTCATGCAGAATCCTAAAATAAGTGCTCCAAAACTCGCTGGAATGCTGCAAAATGATTACAATTTAAAAGTGGACCCTGAAACTGTTAGAATAACCTTAAGAAGAGCTGGATACAATGGTAGAGTACCATTGAAAAAGCCCTATATCAGCAAAGTCAACAAAGCCAAACGACTACACTTTGCAAAACTTTATATCAATGAACCACAAACATTCTGGGAATCGGTCCTTTTCAGCGATGAATCAAAATTTAATGTGTTTTCATCAGATGGAAGAGTTAAAGTTTGGAGAAAACCAAATGAAGCATTTAAAAAACAAAACTTGTGTCCAACGGTGAAGCATGGCGGAGGAAGTGTTTTAGTGTGGGGGTGTATGAGTGCTTCAGGTGTAGGAAACTTGGTTTTCATTGATGGAAATATGGATCAAAATGTGTATTTAAACATTCTAAAAAATAATCTGGAAGAAAGTGCCCACAACTTGGGACTTACTAGGTCATTTACTTTTCAGCAAGATAACGATCCAAAACATACTGCCAAACGTGTCAAGGAATGGCTTATATTTAAAATAGCTAAGCAACTTCATACACCCCCACAATCTCCAGATTTGAATCCTATTGAACATCTGTGGGATGAATTGGGTAGAAGAATTAGGACCCACGATGTGAGGAATCAACAACAACTTCAATTAGTAATTATGAAAGAGTGGGGCTTAATCACTCCAGAAATTACTAAAAAATTAGTTTGTTCAATGAAAAACAGACTACATGAAATAATAAAAGCTCGTGGTGGAAACACAAGTTATTAAAACACTAATAAATTGAGTTCGTATGACAATTTTATTTGATTTTTGTAAAGTGGATGAAAACTTTTTTGAGACAAAGATGTCTATCTTTTATTCCAAAATGCTGTATTTTATTTGTAACTCATTACTTTAAAAAACTTTTTTTGTACAATATTTCTTAAATGTTTAAATGATATAATTTAGTTTATATCATGCTTGCATCTTTGCTGAATAAAAAGTTATTGCATTTTTAAAATGTGCAAGATAAGTGGATAAAAACTTTTTTGACACAGTGTATGTATGTATGTATGTATGTATGTATGTATGTATGTATGTATGTATGTATGTATGTATGTATGTATGTATGTATGTATGTATGTATGTATGTATGTATGTATGTATGTATGTATGTATGTATGTAACCATTAAACATAGAAACAAATTCAGCACTTTGTGCTGACTTCAAACACTTTCAGATCAGCAGTTAGGTTGCCATTGCTAAATGTCGACCTAACTGGTTAGCATTTGCCCTAATTCTAAGGGTTGAATAATTGGTATAGTTTAGTGTAAAACTTTTGTCTATCCAAAAATAACCAAAAGAGATAATAGTTACTTGACAGCATTTCTTAAAAGAAGTATCAGTTACAAAATGTAACAATTATAATTGTCTCTTATTTTTATTATTTTGATAAAAAATTGTATTTATGTTTGAAGTTCAAAAATGAGGCTACTTGAACCAAAATATCATTGTAGCAGCTTATGTTTGAAAATGGTTCAATTTGTTTTCCATTAATGTTAAACGCCAAAGTATACAGAAGGTGGCCCGTCTGGCGCAAGGTATAATGTCAATATTTTAAAACTTTAGTGCAGACAACGACGTTCACTTTATTGGATTATCACCGAGTTCAACATATCTTACCCAACCACTAGATGTGGGTTTTTTCAGGCAAATGAAGATGTTGTGGAGAAAAATATTATCAGAATGGAAAGCAGGTCCTGGAAAATGTGCAACCATGCCTAATAAAGACTCTTTCCCTTCTTTATTAAGTCACCTTCATAAATCAATTTAAACAAATTGTGCAGAAAATATTATGTCTGGTTTCAGAAAGACAATGGATATATCCTCACAATCGACAAGAAGTGTTAAAAACTTTTCTATAAATGATTGTTGATGAGAATGTCAATCAATCATTTCTTGATTTTTGAGAAGATCAAGAAGTGCTGATATTCCAACTACGAAGCATGTGAAAAGTAAGTTAAATGTTCCAGCAGGAAAAAGTATATGGTCAGAAGATGTCATTAAAACAGATGCGCTAAGAATAACTAAAGGTTATTACATCTATTTATATCTATCTATATTATATCTGTTTTAATGACATCTTCTGTTTTAATTAGGGCTGTACCGGATTTAATTCTTTCAAATCCGGCCGGAGCCGGATTTGCCGGATTTCTACTGACAGATCCGGCCGGAATCGGAGCCGGAGCCGGATTTCAAAACAAAACTACAGGAGCCAAAATCCTGTACATCCCTGATTGGTGTTGAGCATGGTCAACAATGTGGACTATTCAGAATACCAAGTGACTGCTGTTTTCTGTTAAACTTCATTGTTGTTATTTAAAAAGTTTTATAGCAATTTCTATATATAAATTAATAGAAATTCGAGAAATTCTATAGGCTATGTGTTTTAAAAGTTTATAGTAATTCTATTGAACTTTTTTTCCGGGATTTTGTCACTCCGCCACTGTAGTGGATCATTGTGTCTATTTATTTCTGGTTCTTTTGGATATTTCCTTAGCTGAGTTTCAATGCCTTTTAGTAATTGTTGTTTATGTGCCCTGCCACCAGCGGACGTAGACTGAATAATTTTATCAATAAATTGCCAGAGTAATGATGATGATGATGTAGAAAAATTATTAAGCCCGGCTTATTTTGGTGGATTTTCTTCAGTTTTGTCAATCTTCTGTTCAGCATGCTCAGACTGACTTCAATCTTGTTTTTTCAGCTGTCAGTGTTGCCTGTAATGAGGAGAATTTAGTTTTAAATTGTGAGTCAACCAGCCTCGTCAGTATATAAAGAGGTTTCTCTTTTCAATGCTTTTAAAACGCTCATCCAATCACTTGATTAGGGTTGACATCATAGTCTTTATACCTGCATCATTCTAGAATATCGTGTGTCTTCCCTTCAGAATTTTTTTTTGCGTTGTTGTTTTAAATTAGACTTAGCTTATTAAATTATAAAGAAACATAAATACAAATACCAAAACAAATATGAGGTTCATAAAATATAGAATTACAAAAAAAATTGATTTTTATAAATAAAATATTAGGTATACATGTAAACACGGGCAAAAAAAAATGTAATAAATATTTGACAAAATTCAAAACTCCGGCTAAAATTATGCCGGATTTGCTAAATTTTTGCCGGAGCCGGATTTGGGCCGGATTTAAAAAAATTGCCGGATTTCGGCTGGAGCAGGAGCCGGAGCCGAAATCCGGTACAGCCCTAGTTTTAATGACATCTTCAACTACCAGTGCTATTTCAAGAAGTAGAAATAAATGAATTGCTCAAAATCTAACTACAGAACAAAATGGTGACAGTTCAGATATTGAAAATCAAAAAGCCAACTTAGTTGCAGGCAATACTATTAAAAATAGAAAAACAAATAGTTGCGATGAAAATTTATCTGCTAATGACAACATAAGCAAAAGTTCAGATCTGGACAACATTGGAAAGGTAAAACTTAATGTTGATGAGTATGTGCTAGTAGAATATGATAAAAAATCACATTGTGAGTGTTAGTATGGAAGAACCTTTCGGTGCCATAGTTTCTTTGATGGAGCCATCAAAAAATCACTTGAAGTTTCCAAAAAAAACAGATATTCTTTTCTACAATATCGATGAAATATAAAAAAGAATATCAATGTCCCGGTACCATTTAACAATAGTTATTTTTAAAATTGCATATCTTGACAGTTAAGGTCAATAGTACTCCTAGTGCTAAGTATACTATAACAACAATATTCCAGATCTTATTATATTTAAGCATGATTTAATTTAAATTGTTTTGTTAACAGCAGATGTCTTTTTAAAAGTGTAGAGCTGGACAATTATTGCACTAGTATTCCTAGTGCTAAGTATGCTCGACAACAGAATACCAGATCTTATTGTACTTTAACATTATTTGCAGTAATAATTCGTTTAAATTGTTTTTCTTTGTATAGTGTTTTTGTGACATTCAATAAAAACTGAAAAAACATATTTTCTACACTATGGGTTCAAATAGCCCCACAACAGGGCCTACTTGAACTCAACCTTAGCCCCTCCCTTCCAAAAAAGGGGGTACTAAAGTCCACCCAAAATTTTTTTCTCTACAATTGTCATTACTAATTCATAAATTGAATTAGCAACAAGTTTTTTTACATTGACATAAATTTGAGAGAGAACCACAAACATTAAACATATATCAAATTTGGGTCCAAGTATTACAGAATATATGGGTAATTCCATTTAAAACTGGGACAGTCATTTTAGTCACCTCTTGGATTTTTTTAAAATTTTACCCAGTGGTACATAACAATAAAACATGAAAAAATGTAAAATTTGAGCTTCCAAATCCAAACGGTTCAAAAGTTATTACGTTTTGAAATTCAGCCTAAAACGTTCCATTTTTTGTCAAGTCCGCCATTATGGATTTTGTAGTTGTACTATTTAATAAATAATTTAAATCTAGTGGAATAATGTGGCTAAAAATGGGTACCTGACAATTTTTGATCGTGCTGAATTCAAAAATGTAGAGAAAATAGTGAAATTTAATTTTTTTGTTGGTTATTTTTTGATTTTAGAGTGGTCAGTCAAATTTTTTGTTCTTTTACCAAGGGTTGCGCTTTCATTAACTCCTAGAGTTGCCCGAGTCTCATGGATTCAATTTTTTTTTTCAAATAAACTAGGTGATCCTAGGCTATTTTTATAAAAAAGATGGTTTTGGTTTCTTAAAACATTATAAAGATATGTCATTTTGAAATTTAGACACAAAAAATCTTTTTTAAGCCTCTATTCTCCATTATAGAATTTATAGTGATACTTTTTGTGTAAATAATTTCAGTTCTAGTGGAGAAATATTGAAAATTGGTACCTGACCAATTTTAAAGTTATTGAATACAAAAATGAAGAGAAATTAACCTAATTCCTAATATTTGAGAATAATTTTTTAATTTTGAAATATCAGCAGTCAAAATTTTTGTTTTGTAACCATAATTTACATTTCACTTATTTCTGAAGTTGCCTTACTCTGATTGTGAAATAAGAGGTCTTAGAAAAGTTTAGGTCTCTGAAAGAAAATAAAAAAACTATATTGCTTTGCATAACTTGCTTATTTATAATCAATATTTTCAAAAGTATACATGGAAATATAATTAATTATACAACACATTGAAAATAAAACTTCTACATTAATTATAATAGTTAACATCAACTTAATACCTAATGTCTAATAATTAGGTATTGCTTCAAAATATTGGTTGCATGCTTAATATTAGATTGCATGCTCAAATGTTGTGTTAAAAAATAAAAAAACTAAAATGCAAATTTAATGAAAAATAGTAAAAAATTTGCTTTATTGAAAAAAGCAGATTTTTTAAAGATTTTTTTGGTTATTCCTTTTTCAAAAAGAAAAAGGAATAACCAAATATTACTAAAATTGAAGTTTATATTATTTAAATAAAGAAAGTAAAATATTCATCAACTTTCACTGACAGAGTAAAAGCTGTTCAAGTAGAGTTTCATCTTCTTTTGAGATGTGGTACTGATGCACAGAAGATGTTGACGGTTTTTTAAAGGGATCTCAAACTCCCAACACTTGTTGTGTTCATATTAAAGATAATGTTGAAAAAGAAGGTTTGAACCAAATTTTTTTGATTAAAAATAAATAATGAATGCATACCAAGAAAAACTAATCTTGTTGTTTTAGCTGAAGCTCACCTTCACCATTTTATTCAAAAACTCGGAGTCTTTAAATTATACGTCACAATCTAAAGACTTCGGCAATTCCTTTGAAGCGCGTTTAATTTATAAAAGTTTCAGTATTTGACCTCACGGTAGACTTTTAACAAATTAAACTCTAGAAAAATTTTTAATTTATTTTTACTCATAAAGTTTCTCATTATAGCAATGCTATAATGAAAAACTTTATGAGTAAAAATAAATTAAAAATTTTTGTTTAGTTATTTATTCTTTACTTAATATTTAAAAAGATATTGAAAACCTTAAATACTTTATACTGGTGCGTTGCTATAAATTGTTATTGCGCTATATTTAATGTTAATAAATGATGAATATTTATTATCTCAATCAAGACTCTGATCAAAAATTGTTTTAGATTAAATTCATTTAAAATTTGTTATAGCATTTTTATTTGGTTAGACAATATTTCGTCTGAATTTGCTTTGCATGAAGTTCGGGAAGTCAAACGAAAAAATTTAGTTTAAATAATCATGTCAAAATAAATTTAAAACAAATGATTTTAATGACTGGCGTTCTAAAGTCTTTTTATAACAAATGTAGGTAAAAAATAAATTATTAAATAAAAAATTATATTGCAACTGTAAATATTGAAATATTAACTTGAACTAAATTTACTTATTATTTAGAATGACTAAGCAATAAAAATAAAAAGCCCCTAAAATTAGCGATATTGTGTTGTTTATTTGATTATTGTTGGTAATGTTGTTTATGTTGATTATTTTCATCAATATCAAAATAGTCCCAGATTAAACTGTTAGTTGCTTTGTTCATTGTTGATTTATTTCTAATTTAATTTTATCTCTAAGTTTAATTCTATGTTAAGAAAGAAAAGTTTTTATTTCATTGTGCGCTCTTTTTATAAAAGTAGAACAAAAGAGAAAGAAATATAGACCACACAGGTAAAACCACAGATGTCATATTTTTCTCATTTTAAGAAAAATGAAATTTAGTGTTTAGTGACATTAGATATCTTTTTGTTAATAATATATTTAATTAAAAGTATATTTTATGACATTTTATTCCTAACACAATATATAAATGCAGTTTTTGTGCTAAATAGAAGAATTATTTATTCACATTCTTCTTTTGAAAAAAAAGACTCATTTTGGACATCTGTGATTTTTCTTTTGTAAATTCATTAACTCATAAACCATGTTAGTATGTAATCTTTTAGAGCACTTACTTTTTTAAAAGTAGATGATAACATATTTTAATACACAACCACAATGTACAAAGTGTGTTATGGGATAATATAGTTGTCCCCCCCACCTTCTTTTCAAAAAAAAAAATTTTAATCAAAAATTTGAAAGTTTTTTTTTAACATTATACAAAATACCGTTGCAACCTTATCTTTTCCCCAACCTCATCTATTTACCATAAATGATTCCATGATGTCTGTGTTCCATCACTCTATATCAAGTTTGTATAAACCATACAAAAACTAATTGTGAACACTTCAACCTTTGATCTAAACATATGGGATGTAACACACATAAAAATAAATACTTTCAATTTTCCATATAATTAAGTTTTAATTTAGTATTTCAATTTCTCTAATCGAACATGCTATAAATGAAGCTCAAGCTTAGCAGTTAGAACAGGTCCAACTACATTTACAATGCATTTTTGGACCTTGTCATGAAGAAAAAGAGCATCATTAAAAGAACCAGGCCAAATATGACTACAATATTCCAACAGGGATAAATAAGAGGTTTGTAGAGGTAGAGAGTGCAATCAGGAGAGAGAAAATGGCGAGCATGATAGTAAGAAGAAACCTTTGCAGATGCTCATTTTGACAATCGGTTATATATATGGTTTCCAAGAAAGGTCAGTAGTAAACGATAATACAAAAAGATGTTAAAAAGGAGGATTCAGTGAAACTTTATTAATTAATAAATAATTTTTTTAATAACTTAATAATAAGTAAATTAATAACAAAGTCATTCATAAATAAATATCATATATAAATATATATCATTTCAATGTTCAAAAAACATAACTTCATAATTTTTAACTAATTAAAAAAAAAAGCCATTGATAAATATATATAATACAAGCCTTCTAAGGAGATCCATGTGATCACACGCTATATATGACCACGCATAAAATATTTTTTTAACTAATTTAAATAATAAAAATCAGCGTAAGATTCTTTAGTTAATAAGTTTCAAGATTGCAAATCTTGGAACTTTTATCCTCTCAATTAAACTTTAACCCTTGATTAAGTTCTAAATAAAATAAAGTTTTTCAAATAGATTCCATTTTTTTTTGTTAGTTAAATTATTATTGATTTAATTATTAATACTTTTTTTTAGAAAGATAATGGTTGTACTGGGGTAACAAGTAAACTTCTTGAACTTCATCTCAAGTTTTTAAAATTAACTATCAAATTATCAAATGATTATGAAGAAAATACTTATGATGGTATAAATTTTATTTATTTTCTGTGGCTCGTAGGAATTAAGTTATAAAAACTTTTTTTTAAAGACTATTTGAGTTTATTTTCTTTAGATTTTTCTCTAATAAAGTGTTAAAATTGTTTTAGAAAATCTAATTTTTTTAATTCATTAAGTTGTATTATATTTCTAGTTTATTTCTGCCAAGCAGGCAGCCAATCTTGGATCAGGTCTTTCTTTTGTAATGCACTTATATATAATATTGTATATATATTACATTGTATATATAAAACATTGTATATATAAAACATTGTATATATAAAACATTGTATATATATATATATATATATATATATATATATATATATATATATATATATATATATATATATATATATATATATATATATATATATATATATATATATATATATATATATATATATATATATATATATATATATATACAATATAAATATATATATATATATATATATATATATATATATATATATATATATACTTAGTGTATTAAAAAAACTTACATTTTTAAAATACACTAAGTGCATTTATTTTAAATGATCGTTATTTTTTTATTTATTTAAAGCCTTTGCGTAAAATAAAAACGGTAAAAAAGATCAATGGTTAATTGTTGTTCGAACGTAACGATTATTGCATTTAAATTGTTAAAACATTAAAACAACCATAGTCAAATTGTAAAAAAAAAACATTAGCATGGTCAGTTACAGAGTGCAATCACACACCATTCCTGTCCAAGCCTCTATATATTGCAATAGTTGTTTATATATATATATATATATATATATATATATATATATATATATATATATATATATATATATATATATATATATATATATATATATATATATATATATATATATATATATATATATATATATAAACAACTATTGCAATATTGTCAACATTCCTATATTGATGGATGGCAACCCTCTCACGTTTGCTGCTGAGTTCTCAAAGAAAGCATATATAAAATCAATCGCAAAGTTAGTATCTGCTAAGGTTGGTCCTCTTTATTGTGCTCCTAATTCTATTCTCTACCATTACAAATATTTTATTTGTCCCTGTATGGAATACTGTTTTCATATTTGAAAGAAAGAACAATATAAATTTTTCTCATAATGCTCTTTCTTCTAGACAAGATTTGAAAACGCATTGTAAATGTAGTTTGGCTTGCTCTATCTGCCAAGCTTGCGTTACCAAAGGTTGCATCTCTTTCACTTTTCTACAAATACTATCATGGTTGCTGCTCAAATGAGCTATCATCTTTAGTCCTATCAACCAAAAATCATTTTTGCTTGACTTGTCATTCAGCAAAGTTGCATTCTTTTACTATTTAACATTGTATATACGTATATACTGTATCTGTCCCTTCATGCTTTAAAAACTTTTATTCATCTTTTTTTTTTTCTTATACTTCAATGGTTTGAAACTCTCTCCCATATTCATTCATCTTTTCCTGACTCCTTTGACCTGACAACCTACAACTTTTCAAGTCTTCTTTCAACTGTTTCCTTGCTCTTTAACACTATTCCTTTGTTTTTTAGTAAGTTCCAACTTAGTAGTGGTTGCTTTGTTAAAAGAAATTTCCTTGATTAATACTCAATGAACAAAAGAATGGAATTGACTTTTAGTTGATTCTGTAAACAGAATCATTCTTACATATTTAAAATAATTTTGCTATTATAATCAAACTTAATTCAAATTGTATTGATTGCTAACTTTAAATAATCTAAAAGTTTAAAAAAAAATTAATCAAAAAGTTTTAAAACAATCAAAAAGATTTAATTTCTCCGACTATTTTTATTAAATAAATTTTATTTAAGGTTATTAGGTAATCTTTTAGTTAAAGTGTTAAGATTATTGAATAATTAATATAGGTAAGAAGTAATATGGGACCTATTATCAGGGTTGGCAAAAAATCGTTTTTTTTTTAAAAAAAACCCAGCCCAGTGGGTTTTTTTGGGTAATTTTGGGTTTTATTGGGTAAATTAGGGTTTTTTTGGGTTTTATTTTTATTTCGTCTCTAAAAAAATTTTTTGTTTTTTTGTGTAATGATATTGAAAATTAGTTTCATTTTCTACTTTAACTTTATTTAAAATATATTTTATATATTGTTATTTAATAATTTATAACAAGAATTTTTCAAATTATTTTGAAAAAGATTTTTAAATATAATTTTAAACTGTAATAGAAAAAAAAAATTTCACGCTTAATCTATATGTATTGATTTATTTTAAATTTAAAGTATTAATCTATATAATTAAAAATGTCAATGAGAAATGGGAAAAAGAAGGCTAGAGAATGGGAGGTAGTAACTGAAGTTTCAATTAAACTTTGAACTTGAAATTCAAATGAACAAACTTGTTTCTCCACACAGCGGCCTTGTTTATAAAGATTTGTGTTTAGGAGTTTAGGAGTTGAGAGAGAGAGTTAAAACCACAATAACGTAGCCTCCTCGACTGTAGTGGGCTTCTCTGGCCACTACTACTCATTCACCTTAGGAGGTGAATAACATAAAAGATTAAAAAGTCTCAATCGATAAAGATATTTGCATAAAAATTGTAATAATGTATTTCCAAATAATGATTCAAATATTAGTAAACCTGCTCTGATAGCTGTTATTGTTAGTTATAATAGTTAATAATAATAGTTAATAATAATTTAGTTAATAATAATAGTTAATAATTATTTTAGTTAATAATATTATAGTTATAATGTTAAAGTTGGTTAAAATAGTTCATAAACTTATTAAATATCTTAAAAAAACCCAATAAAACCCAGATTTCCCCGGGTTTTATTGGGTTTTTTTAGGGGGGTTTTATTGGGTTTTTTTGGGCAGGTTTTTTAATGCCAACCCTGCCTATTATGGAACCTGTGAGGGGAGAGGTTTTAAAACAAGTTAATGGTATTAAGGCTTGAAAGGTGCTACAGTTAAGTTATTCAATATAATGAAAATCACTAAAAACATTGAATAACAGAGTGAGAGTCTATTTTATCAGAAGCAACATCATAAGCAAGATGATGATTACTTTTATTTTTGCTGTCTAAAGTTAGAGGGGCCACAGCAGTTAAAAAGCTACTCTATTTTATTTATGTTTATGTTTTTAATTTCATGGCAAAGTGAAGAATTGTTATTTAAATATAAGATCAGGTTCTTTATAAAATATCAATCTTTATAGTTATATCACAGAAAACACATAGAATCAAAAATTATTAGTATTAAAGAACAGCTATACTAAGTTCTTAATGGAGCACATAGACATACATAATGGAAACCAAACTTATAAAAGCTTTTTAGGAAAAGCAGAATAGTGTCAAAAATTAACTGCTAAAAAAAAATGATTTGGGTAAAAAAAAACTGAAACTCTTTTAAATGATTAAGATCGAAGTTATGACTTTTTGAAAAATGTCAAAAAGTATTTATTTTGAAATTCGCAAGTGTATATCATTATTGAAAACAATAAATACCAACTTACAACAATAAAAACCAGAAAATATAGAATTGTATTGAAAATTAACTGTTCAAAAATATGATTAGAGTAGAAAAAAAAAAAGACTAATAGGTAAACATTCAAGGTGTGCTGCTACATCGACTAACAAATTGGTAAACATGCCAGGAGTGCTGCTACATCGACTGACAAATAGGTAAACATGTGAGGAGTGCTGCTGCATCGACTGACAAATCAGTAAGCATGCGTATTGGGAAATTATTCCATTTTTCAATTAAACCGATCGTTCTTCAACTAGTGTATGTATTTAAATTGCTGTTACCCTTGTTTTTAAAACTTTTTTTTACATATATACCACTGTGCATTTATCTTATTAAATTTGTAGTGTTCGAGAAATAGTTGTTGATGTATGATCAGGTGTACATTGTGTAAGCATTTTAGCTTTACACTGTACATCATAAAAAAACTGTACTATACAAGTGCTATACATATGTGCTGCACATCTTATTTGCTGTATACCCTATTCAAAATGTATCAGATGGGGTGTTCTTGCGTCAGATTTGTTAGATGGAGTTTCACAATGTGCCATGTAGATTTATTAGTATTTACAACTTATATACTGTACTGCTCTTTAAATTTTACGGTTTGTTTATTTTTTTGTTAATTTTATTTTCTTTTCTAATTTAGCATTTCTTTTTCACCATTCTTAAAAGTAATGTTTTTGTCTAAGTTTTTCATAAGAGGTCATAAAGTACATCACGCTAAATTTATCTTTTGATTAGAAGTATAATCTTTGCTCTCTTGCGCAAAGATTTTATTCAATAAAAACTTTTGAATTTAAATTACTAAAGTCTCTGCTTGGAAGCCAATATTATTTTAAAGTTATTTATAATATTTGACATATATTTGTTATTTGAAAGTCAAATTTTAAATATGCGTCAAATATAACTTATATTTAGTTTGATTACTTAATGGATCACAGTAAATTTACCTTAAGGCTAAATCAAAACAACCAGTTAAGTTACTACAGTAATTTCAGTTATTCAACTATTAAATTTACTTAATATACTCAAAGACTCGCAAAAGTTAGCCATATAAATGTTTATATTAATATCTTATGTTGTTAACATTTAATATAAGCTTCTAACTAAAAATTATTTTAACAAAAAATCTCGAATAGAATATAAAAAATGCGATACCATTTTTTCATATTTAATTAAAAGCGATATCAAGATCAAACATTTTCTATAAATGCGCAAGTTGTTTTTAGGAATTTTATTTAAAAAGAAATCTGTTTGAACAAAAGAATCTCTTATTTAAAGGGACTACCAAGTCCCGAGACACATTGTGTTTACATTAAAGAGAATGTTAAAAAAAACGTCTAAGCAAATTTTTTTTGATTAAAACTAATTAATAAATGTATACCAAGAAAAACAAATCTTGTTGTTTTAGTCGAAGCTCGTCTTCTCCATTTTCTGCGGTATTTTGAGTATGTAAATTAAATGCGGTTTAGAAAGGTTTAAAAAGAAATTTTTATTCTAAAAAAAATAATTTAAGCATATTCTTTAATTTAAGGAAATAACATGTATTTTATCATCAGCATGAACATATTAAATAGTTTTCTATGATTAATAAAAGTTTAATATTTTAATTTAATATTATTTTATTTTTACTTTTTTAAGTATCATGTTAAGCAAAAACAATTACTAAAAGTAATATCTAAATAGTAATAGTATTAAATTTGTTGCTTGCTCATTACACTATAACTGCAAATTTAAACTTTAACTTTAAATTATAACTTAAGCTGGAAACAGTAACTTATGCTATTTTAAACACTGTCAAACGAGAAAATGATAAGTTAATATTCAAATATGAGAGATTATATTAAAAAAATAATAATTATGAGCTAATGTACAAAAGATACAATTTTATACTAACACAACCTCCCCATTACTCCAAAGCAGCTCCAGGGGAGAGGGGTAGGGGGTGCACAATTTTTTTGCATTAATTCGAGCCCTGAATAATATAATTTCTATTTTAGTAACTTTTGAGTCATTACATAAAAATAGATTAAGAAATGTTTTATCTTAAACATTTAACGTTTTAACTTGTAAATAATGTATAAGTTTAATTTTATTCATATATTAAAAACTTGTTGTGTTTAATTTTTTTTTTTTTCTTTTTATAGAATTGGTCAGTGAGCATATATTATATAACAACACGAATAAAGTGAGAACTTTTAAAATTTACATTTTTACCTAAAATCTTAGTTTTAAATTTTTTTTTGTATTTTAAAATTGCTTTTATTTACTTCTACTTGTTATTCTTTTTATATAATTTTCATCTTTTATATTAGTTTAAAAAAAAACTAAGATGAAGATTATATAGACCAGAAAGAAAGAACAATATATTTCAAGAACTCAAGAAACCTCGATTGATTAAGAACTCAAGAAAACCATTTTCCCACCTACTTTGAGCTTATGAAGACCCCTTCTCCCGTTTATTAAATTTTACTTGTTATGAACAAAGAAATCTCAAAAAAAAGTTCAGTTATTCAGGGTGGTCACTGGGAATCATTTTAATCGGTCATAGAAACCGCTCATAGAAACTTTACTGTTGAGCAAGGTTGTTGTGTTCATACAAAGTGTTTTATTGAGAATATGCATCAAATTTTTGTGATTTGTCAGCGCACTTTTTACAGCAACAATGTAAACACAACAAAGTAGAATGTTCGCAATTTTACAATCACTAATGAATTAAAAATAAGTTGCAAATTAACTCATTCTTGACATGTGCAATATTTGTATCAAAATAAAAGATAAAATGTTTCTACTAGAAAAAAAGAAAAAGATAAGCTCACCACTGAAGAAATTAATGTGAGAAAGATATTCTTGTGTATTGTTACTCTAAATGAAGAGCTATTTAGAATTCAAGCTGAAAAATCTAATTCCATGGGTTTGAAAAAAAAAAAAAGGATACTCTAGTTGAGCAGCTGGATAATGCTATTGTAAAATTAGCTATATTTTAAAATCATAAACAATTTATTATACCTTATTACGCATTAATTTGAATTTTAAGTCGTAATGTATCTTGAAAAAAGTTTTTATTTTTATTAAGTTAAAGTATTTTGACTATATATTTTTGTACAAAAATTTTTAACTATGTCACTTTAAACATTAAAACAAAAGATTGATGTTAATAATTCTTGCACAAAAAAGATATAGTTAATAGTAATTTTTATTCAGAAACGGGAAATGTTTAGAGTAAATGTTATCCATTATATTCTATTTCATGTACATATAGCTGTTTTATATTTATTCTTAAATCGATCTAATAAAATAATTATGTTTATTATTTATTTTGGTAAAGTTTTGAACATATTTTTAGAAAAAATATATTTTCTTGAAAAATATTGAAAAGCATAATTTTTCTCTCTATCTGCACAAAAGAAATTCTTATTTAGATACGGTGAAACACTTTGTGTTCACCCTGCATTCTAGTCATTACTACGGCGAAACCCTTTGTGTTCACCCTGCACTCTAGTCATTACTACGGTGAAACGCTTTGTGTTCACCCTGCACTCTAGTCATTACTACGGTGAAACGCTTTGTGTTCACCGTGCACTCTAGTCATTACTATGGTGAAACGCTTTGTGTTCACCCTGCACTCTAGTCATTACTACGGTGAAACGCTTTGTGTTCACCGTGCACTCTAGTCATTACTATGGTGAAACGCTTTGTGTTCACCCTGCACTCTAGTCTTTACTATTTGGTTTCTAAAAAGATCTTTTAAGCCTTATTATTATTAAAGCCTTTATTTTTAAAGTTACTATTATCAAATTTTTATCAGTTATAATAAAAACAGAGTTTTTTTCAGACATGATTTTGGAACATTCTAGCAATTTGTTTTTGGTCTGCGTGTTTTTTCCTAACTAATTGGTAATAGTTAAACGCATGGCGAACACTAGACATTTTACTGATGTTTTTAGATGTTTTAGTTTATCACAGAAATTTATAAAATGTCATGGAAAAATCATGGAAAAGTCATAAAAAAAGTCATGGAATTTTCAAATTTGATAGCCACACTGTTAATATTTTCTAATTTTTGAGACAGTTTAGGTCTTAAAAATTAAAAAACTCATTTATATAGATAAAAATTCCAACTCACCTATTTGAAAAGACTTCCTCCCTCCCTTTCTTTCCCATTTCCCCCCATTTATTACATCTAGATAAAAATTCCCACTCCACCTTGTGTTAAGCATCTGAG